AAGATGAGTGTGTAGGTTCTTTTATACTACCTCCTCCCACTACACTTACACAAAAATCCATACTCAGTATGCACACTGAGTATTTTACAGTTATGTAACTATTCTTCAAAGCTAAGCCACATGGTACATGATGATTACATTTCCATTTTTATAACTTTTATTTGTTGTAATATGTAACCTTTGCCTCTGAGTTTTTTTAAGTCATACACTTTTAAAGATAATTTTTATTATGGAAATGCTCAAATATATATAAGAGGAGAGAGGATGACAATATAATATAATGTATGCAGTGGCCAATAGTGTTTCACCTCTATCCCTATCCATTATCCCTTCTGATTATTTTGAAGTAAATCCCAAATATCATACCATTTCATCTTTAATTATTTAAGAATGTATCTCCAAAAGATAAGAATTCTTAAAACAGATAACTACAATATCATTAACACACCTAAATATCAATAATTTGTTAATATCATTCAGTGAAGTAATGAATTTACACATTTTTGTTGTTACTTTTAGATAAATGAAATTCTAAGGATTAAGCCTTAAAACTTAAATATAACCACAATAAGCCCATAACCAAATTCTTTACTTGATAGTTACATTTAGATAAACAGAATGTATTTTGTATTCATTGCTATCTAAAAACAATCAGAAAACCATGCCTTTAAAGATTACTTCTTTACTTGACACCATCCTTTCCTACTTGAAAATTCAGGTTCTGAATATGATTGAAGAAAATGAAACAGTACATCATACTGCAAAACTAGAGCAACAGGAATTTGGCCTGGATCTTGAAGAACTAGAAAGGCTCCACGATGAAAGTGAGGAAGAAGTGGCAAAGGTGTGGAAAAATCTAATGATGGCACCATAAAGCTACAAAGTAAAAGGAAAGAGAACATTCCCAGGATAATAAGAATAAAACAAAAACTTTCCCAGCATAATGTTTACAAAGCAACCCTAGTACACATAAATGGAATGAGTCAGGAAATGACTGAATCTGGGGGTTTGGGGAGAAAAGGATGTGGAAGCCAGACAGCTGATGTTTGTCTTTCCTTGGTGACATTCATGTAACCACCTTCCACCCTGAGTTTGAACAGCTTTAGAAATTCCCTTAGCGACCTCATGCCAACTTTGGATACTTCCGTTTAGTAGGCTCTTTCTTAATCAGAGTTGAAATTTTTCTCCCTCTACTTGCTGATTCTTCTGTTTTTTGAACACCATCTATGGTCACTCATGTTTAGAGATTAGCAATTACCACATTCCCTACGTATCTTCCCTTGTCTGGGTTGACTATCCCAGCTCCTATGAACATCATACAGTGTAGTTTCAGTAGCTTCATCATCATCATGCAGTTTTCCTCTGATTTCATTATATTTGGTTATAGCACCCACAAAAGCATTCCAGTCATCAGCTGTCCAGTTTAGAGAAAAGCATGAACTGAAACCTCCATTTTTCTAGATTCAGCCGCTGTATCTTTTTTGGGGGTAATGGGGGTGGGGTTTCGTCTTTTGTGGCAGTCATATCACATTGTTTACTCATATGGATTTTATTTTAGGTAAAACCCTAATTGTGTTTTACACAGGATGTTGTTAAACTGCCTATTTCTCAACCTACACAGTACATTTGATTTTTTGAGTGTGCAACTATAAAAATATTGTTTCCTTTGAACAAGAGCATGAAATATATACCTGGACTCAAGATTATAGTTTGTTAAACAAATACACCAAAAAAAGGCTGATTATTTTTGATGTCTCTAGGAAAGAAATTTCTAATCATGTGCCCCAGGACTCTGTCCTGTTAGACATGTGTATTAATGACTGGGGTGAAGATATAGAAATGAAGCATATTTGTCAAATGGCGAATGACATGAGGCTGAGAATGAAAGGAAATATATTGGATAATAAAATCAGGACCAAAAGCCTCCTTGATCCTCCTGACTCAAGGATGATCATCCATCCATCCATTCATCTGTTCCACAACATTTATTTAACACCTATTATGTGCCAGGCACTATTGCGGGTGCTGGGGATATATGAATAAGACAGATAGATCCCAAGCTAATCTGGCAGAGAAGATAGACCATAACAAATCTGTCTGTTATAAGATGGAAATGAACTCGATGCTGTGATTGAAGTGGGGGATCTACTTCTTGGTCAAAGACTATTTTAAAGGGGTGGCATTTCACTGGGAACTAAGAGAAGAGAAGGAGCTGGCTAAGCAAAGATCTGGGGGAAGAGAATACCAGGCAAAGGGAGCAGCAAGAGCAAAGGCCCTGAGGCAGAAATGGCTCAGAGTATTCTGGGAACAGAGAGGCAGAGAGGCTGTAGTACAGTGTGCAGGGGAGAGCCCCTGGAATGAGGTGGAGGAGGTAGGCAGAGGCCAGCTCTGAAGATCTTATACATCACGGTTAAGAATTTGGCTTTTGTTATTCTATTTGCAATAGAAATCTGTTAGAAATAATCCCATTTTCTTATTATAACAAATAGGCTTTTTGAGTGCTATATATTTTGACCATCACAACAATCTAAAAACATAGGTTATTGTTCTCCCCACTTGAGCAAACTGAGGCTTCAGAGCTAGAGTCACTTGGCGAAGCTCCCACAATTCATGTAAGAGCCAGGAAGTGCTCCCTGTCTGCCCAAGGGTTCAGGCTCTTCTTCCTTGGCCCTGGCTTCATTCAGGCCTTGAATGTACTCTCCTGTTCTGACACTAGCTAGGCTCTCCCATATCATTCAGCTTGACCACTCTGCAGTGAGTTTGTGTTGGGTGCCTGCCCCCACACTAATTCCAACTGTTGCTTGTCTCTTCCAGCCCATGTCTGACCTTTCAGCCCCAGAAACCTACTCCTCTGGCCTGTGACCTACTGACCACTGACGAACCCACCCAGCTCACCTCACCCCTACCCTGTGCCTCTGCCCCAGATGCCCCCTGCTGCTTATCCAAGTCCTGTGCACTCCTTAAGAAGCCTCCTTGATCCCCCGAGGCAGGTTGCAGTGCAGAAAAAGACTCTTCACATGCCCGTTTCCTCCATATTATTTATTTTTCCTGAGCTCAGGGCTTCTGAAAAGATATCATCCCCAGACTGGGTGTGAAAGTGGAACCGGATGGTCCATAACAGAACAATATGAGCAAATGACACCTAAACCTAGCTGGCTTCAGCCCATTAGGGAGAATACTAGCCCCTGGCAAGAGTTAGTGGCACCTACCAGTCAAGGATCCTAGTCCTAAAGGGACCAGGCTACTAGCCAGCCTCAGCCAGGATCTCAACAATAGGGAAAAGACCTAAATGCTGAAATGACAATCTGGACACAGTATTATGGACCAAGTCTGGAGGGGTTGATCAAATAGCCTAAGCAGTGGAGAGGGGGGGGTCAGGTGGGGTGGGAATCAGTCAGTTCTGACAAAACAGCTGTTTACTTAAGAAAAATCATTTAAGACTGTATTAGACATTTTATCCATTGGCATCTTGATGGATAAAGAAAATGCAAATTAAACAAAGCTATTTGATCACATAATAATAAACATAAATGAATGAATGAATAGGATATTTTCTAATCTGGAGTACATTATTTTTAGCTAGTTTTCTAATAATTCTGCCAACAAAGTGAAATGCAAAAAAAAGGTTTTGAAGAGGATCCTAAGGACTAAAGACTGTTCGGCTCACTTTCATATCAGGTCTTTCAGCAAACTATATTAAAGTAAAATAACTATCATGTGACTATTAAGTACAGATACTTAAGCAGATAAAACTAATTGAGGTAACACATATGTTCCTAAATGGAAAAACATAAATTATGTGATTCCCAAGAGTAGTAGAACATTCATTTTATGGTGGGCATAAATAATAGAATTAAGTGCAGTTAAAGACTCCAAGACAGAGGTCACAAACTAGCATTTCAAATATGCGTTGACAAGAATTAAGACAACATTTAGATCCCCTGCAGTTTCATAAAAACACAAATTTCAAACTTCTCTAATAAAACAGGAAGACTTGGCACAGTGAGCTCACTTCCTTGCCCCGCACCAACCCACCAAATCTGTGATAATGTGTGTGTTAGCTATCCAGCCCACCATGGCTCTGCACCAGTCCTCACACCTCCATGGGCTGGTGTGTAGACCTGCCTCCCCTTGGAGGAGTTTGTGTTAATACCCTCATCCCCAGGAAGGAAATCCAAAGCCTCTAAACTTCAGGAAAGGCCCTCCAAGAAAGGTTGACGCATCTCAGTGCAGGGCAGCTCGCCATGCAGGGAAAAAATCAAACTCTAAGTGTGTAGCCATAACTGGTTGTCAAATTTACAATTGAGATCTTTTTTTTTCACAAGCCATATTTTAACTTTTATTTCTTCCCTTAATCTATGTTCTTCAAGATAAGAAAGGATATAGAGATGCATAACCTAGCCAAGAGACATTTAGCTCAACTTATTAAAGAAGAATGCTGGAATTCAATGGCTGTGAAGGGTAGAGCTCTTAAGGTAATGGGTAGAACTCCAGCTATAACATCTTTGCTAATGAGGATTTTCATTGAAAGGTCTCATGGCAGAAAATGTTTACAAAGAACATTTGTAATTTTAAGAAAATTCATATATAGAAAAGCATTCAAATCATGCTGTGCCTTTCCTGTACTTTCACCTTGCTATGTTATTTTCTCTTGTCTCATTCTTCCCTCTATGCTCAGTACCCCTGTGCTTCCAAGTCGGCATCTCTTAAGATCTGTCTCAGCACCTCTTCCCCTCTTCCTGCTAAGACACTACCTGCATCCAGGTCTTACAATGTCTATTCCAAAAGGTACCTCGCTCCCATTTCTCAGATTGAAAACTACACATAAAATTGTTCATATTTCTACCTGTACCTGCCTTCACATTCTCCAAAGGGTTGTTTTTCATTGAGACTCCTTCCAACACAATTTCCTTCTTTGTGTAGGGTGACCAAAAGTCAGTTCATGCCTGTGGTCCTAGAGTAACTATTAACAGCACCTTTTCACTTTCAAATATGACCCCCATCTGGATAATGAACTACATGGTCACCCTACATTTATGTGATTATTGCTTGGATTTCTCAACAGTGGCACATTTTGGGCTGGATAATTCTTTGTTGTGTATTATAGTATGCTTTGTAACATTCCTGGCCTCTATCTACTAGACCCCAGTAGCATCCAATACCCCCATTAGTGAAAATCAAAAATGTCTCCAGACATTACCAAATGTCCCTGAGGGTTGGGGAGGAGGGGGTCAGAGCTAGCAAAATCACCCTAGTTCAGAATCCCTACTGTAGAAATAAATCTGTCACAAACGCACTGTATTTCATGCAAGGTTTATACCAATATTAATGGCAAACATTGTTTTATTTTGAAGAAAGTTTCCATTGCAATTTCACTCATGTATGATAACCTATGAATTAATTTTAATCAGGGAAAATACCCCCCGACACACTTCACCCCATATATACACAATTGTCCTAAAAATGGGTTTATTTCATCTTGCTTTCTTTTTCAAGTGCTTTCACATCCCCTGTGTGGTTGAGAACTTCCCAATGAAAGAACGCACAGGTGAAGAGTTGAAAGAATTGAAGAGAGTTTTGCAGCAAAAGAAGATTGAAACAGAGTGTCGTAAAGTACGATTATGTGTGTGTGTGTGTGTGTGTGTGTGTGTGTGTGTGTGTGTGTGTGTTTACATAAGTGATGTGCTTTATTTCAGAGTCTCCTTCATACAAATTTGAACTGGGATACAACTTAAGTTTAGATACTGTTTGTATTTATACTTTAAATCCTTGTTAATTTGTAAAATATATTCTAATGGACATAAGAGCTAAATCCACAATAAGTCAAGAAGCCTATATCCTATATGACACTGGCTAGCCATCAAATATGAGGATACGCTTTAAAAATGAGATTTGAGGTTTTGTTCTTGTCCTGGTCAGAAATTGTCTTCATCCACCCATTCTTTTTTTTATCTTTTCTTATCAATTAGGGATTATTTTCTATGATAATTGACCAAAAATGAACTGGTATCTTTTTTGATGGAATTATGGTTTTCCTAGAGCAGTTCCAGGTTTCGCTTTTCTAAACAGCAATCTCTATTAAACTAGTAAAAAAAAAAAAAACACTGCCCCATTAGTGTAAGATTTTTTTGGTGAGAACTTTGCATCCATTCTTTTTCTGAAATCTAAAATGAAGGCATACTTAGTTCTTCTTAATCTACACCCACCAGTCCTATGTGAATAAGTTCCTTTGCCAAATATGAAGAGTGGTTATATTTTAATGCTTACGTACCAAGAAAGACTTGAAATATTTACAGGCAGCTGTCATCCTGACAGAAAAATATAAATTACATACTATCTAGAATAATTTTTACTTTTGATTTATCTACAGTTTATCAGTTTCCAAAGCTTCAATCTCTTCTCCAGCAGTTTCAGGATCTATCCATCATTTTTAATTCAGTTGTTGGCAACACAATTTAACATCTTAAAATCACTGTTGGAATAATTGTCACAAAATTGCCCTTTAGAGAATTCTTAGTGTTGCATAACTCCCATGCTATCTTTTTCTATACTCAGCTACAGAAGGAAATTGTAGAGGTTCAGTCCACTATTACCTTGGTTAAAAAGCATCATGAAGAAGAGGAAGAAGAGGAAGAGGAAGAGGAAGATGTGGTAGTAAAAGATGCCGACTTGCCTAAGTACCTGCTTGGTAGTCTGAGTACTGATTTTGGGATACATGCCTCTTTGTTGTCAAGTCAGTTGGAACTTCATGCCAGAGAGGAGAAAATCCACCAAATTATATTACTGAAAGTAGGTGAATTTTTCTTTATCCTTGAAAATCTCTATGACTCCCTATGAGGCATCTTACAAAGGCTAAAATTGCAATCTAACGTCAACCAAATGATGCCTTTAAAGTGCATAGAGAAGTATCCACAGGGCTAGAATCCAAGGTCTTTAAACAGAGCTTGTGTACAAGAGTACGTCATCCATTCGGACTGTGTTCTGTGATGACAGGTTTTGTAAAGAACACCCCAAACTGGCTAACACCACAAACAAACCATTCTTCCACTTAGATCTTCAGTAAGCTCCACGATGAAAGAAATCCTTGAATGCTGTCTTCTAGGTAATGCGGATGTCGGTTAGGACGTCCTTGTACAATCAAGATGTGATTGCTTACCTATTCCCTTAAACTGGGGAAGTAGAATTTCCTCTCCAAGATTCCTGTAAATTCTGGGCCCCAGAGATTAGGTACAGCATCCCTTAGGCTCTAAGCTCCTATTCCTTACTTTCCACCTAACAAGCCAGTCTCCATATCCTCACATGCCTGCTGAAGGTTTTGAACATTCAGTGTTCAATTGGTACAAGACTGTACCAATGAGGATGGTTTTAAATTTAATGTTGGCTTTTCCTGTTCCTGAAAGTCCCTTAGTCATTTATTTCACTCTGAAGGTAAAATAAAGGCTATATTGAGGTGACCCATTGTTCTACTCATCAGCAGAGGTGGGAGCAATCCAGTTGGACCCAGTGTCACTTTAGTAATTCTTAGATGAGAATGACCTGACTACACAGAAGAAGAATATTGTGTGCATTGTGCTTCTCTGGGAGATGCTCTGTCAGTCAAACAACCTCTTCCTCACCACATTTCCCCAAAACTGGTTCCAAAGAAAAGACATTTCCTGATCTAAATATTGCATATTACTTTTTAAATATTTTATGATGGATTTTTTAAGAACACATACATAATAGAGAGACTAGCCCAAAGCGTGTCCAAGTATCCATCACCTACTTCAGCTTTTATCAACATACTTGCATTTTGAGTTACAACTTATACTTTGGGAAGAAGGTTGTGGTATAGCAGTTAATGCTGTTGCCTTAATCCTACTTGTGTTGGGTGCCACTGTAGATTGTTGAGCTAAGAAACAACTTAATATAAACAGTATTTTAGAAAGATTATTTTACCAATAATTTGTAAAATTATTTTGGAGGGGAAGTAAAACTGTGGGATCATGTTACCAGTAATAGTAAAATATATGATGTGTTTTCAGTAACATATTGATATTTCAGGATATCATTTACAAGGTGAAAACTGTTTTTAATAATGAGTTTGATGCTGCATATAAACAAAAAGAGTTTGAAATTGCACATGTGAAGGAAAGAAATAGAAGAATTCAAGAAATTATTTTATATCTGGACTTGAACGAATCAGTCTGGCTACCAGAATTTGATGACTGTGAAAAGCCAGAGAGAACCCTTGTTGTGGAAGACAGTGAGGTACCAGCCAGCTATATAATCCCTTCTTTCTCATGACATTTCCCAAGCACTTATTTATTCATCTTGTCCGCATTACTAGAAGTGATTGTTAGGTAGCATTCCTGGTTACAAGTAATAAAAACAGTACAGAGCATCAGGGATAATGAGGATTTCTTTTATGAATTCCATGGAGTCCAGAGAAGATTTGGACATCAAGCCTAGAAAGAAGCAAGATCAAAGACTAGAGCTTTGTGGGGAGTCCAGAAGTCCTTTCTCTTTATCCCTTAGCTCACTTCTCTCTGCATTTCAGCTTCCTCTAGCAGTTTTTATTTTGTATGTCCTACACTCAAAACAGCAGCTGGTTGAACTGAAATATCTTAGTCCCAATTCCACATTTACCTGGGAAGGGGCTCCTTGGCCCAGCTTGGGTCCAGTGCTAGGAAGTTTGGGTCACACTGTGGAAGTTAAAGTGACAGCTCCACTATTTCTCTAGGTCGTCCCAGCAGCATGGGCCTGAAAGGGCATATAGCCTTCTTAAAAGATAGTTTGTCACAGAGATGGTTACAAGTAAATGTGGAAAGAAAACAATTAAAACAATATTTCATTCCTCAAAAGTAAAAAATGCTAGAGAATACTCAAAGAATACCCTTTGCTCACATGAAACCACTTAATTACTTTGGGACAAAAAAGCAATAGCATTGCTTAGAAGTAATAGCAAACAGTTATACAGTCCTTGTTAAAAGTACCTTAGATACTGAAACTAACTTATCACTATAAGACCTTATAAAGCAGGTACTAATATTACCTTCATTTTACAGATGAGTAAAATGAGGCACAGAGAGGCTAGTAGCTTAACCACAGTTACAAAGCCTGTTAGCAACAGAGTTGGGGTTTGAACCCAAACCATTATGCTTCAGAATACATCCTCTTTACCTCTACTCTGTACTATCTTATTTAGGGAAGTCATAGCTCTAAGACCCAGACTCTTCTATATAACCTAAGACTCTGGAGCATGGTAATAACAAAAACTCACTCTGCCACTCTCACCCATGTCCTGCTCTTGGCGGCCAATTTGTATGTGCAAAATTAACCACACCAAGCTTGCTTCTCTTATCTCTTCTACAGGCAGGAGAGCGACTTTGTTATAAGCCAAACTTACTGTGTTCTTCTGCTTAGACCCCTGCACTGGCTGCTCATTTTACTTAGGGTAACACACCCAAGCTCCTTCTGACCACCCACCCCAGGCCCCTTCCTCTCAGTTGCTCTCCCTGTCTTACTCTGTTTCAGCCACACTTGCATTATCTCAATTCCTTGAATGCCCCAAGCTACTGACTGCTCAGGACCCCTATTCTGTGGAATTTGGCTTAGATGACACTTCTTTGAACCCCTTCCCCATCACCCTAATCTAAATCAGGTCCTCTGTTATAATTTCTTTAATGATGGAAACAGACTTTGAGAGCTAATAGAGAAGTAATTATTTTTCCAGTCCTCTCATTTTAGACCTCCTCTTTATTCCAAGATAGGGAATTGGTTGCAAAATCTGGATAGTCCTTTTACCCTCTTGATATCTTCTAATCTCCTTCTGGTATGTGCAAAGAAAGTTTGGTTTGAATTTTGTAAGAATAACAGTAGGAAACTACATTTCTTCTTTTAGATTACAGCTCACAAACACGTTAATCCATGGCAAAAAGCCAGAGAAGAATTGATTGAGACGCATAAAATAGAGCAATGGCTTTTGACACAGGTATGCAGTTTTGCTCCAACAATGCTCAAGACCCTTTTTCCTTTAGGGATGATTGTTCCTACTTTGGTTGAACAGCCTTGTACTCCTCTACAGAAATATGTCAAGACATATGTAATGATCAGAGGTTACTGGGTCACCTCTTCCCTCCATGCTCTGCCCATCCTCCCCTATCCTAAATGCAGACATTCTAACATTGGGTAGATGGTGGACCCTGTTGCCCCCAGAGTGTCAGATCTCTGTCTCAGCTATCCTTCTTGACCCGACTTTTTCCCAGATCTCTGAAACGAGACGTAGAGCCCTGATGGACATGATGGGAGGAGTTCTAGAAGTCAAGAGGGAAGACATTTTGAAAATGGTGAGATTTCTGGACATTCCTATGGAAGGTGGAATGGGGAGTACTTAAGTTTGACCATTTTTATCATATTTGACCACCCGAGCTTTAGAAATTCTACAGCAACAAATATATAACCTCCTAATAACTTATAAACATAACACATCAGGCAAATGAGAAATTTGAAACCTCAGAATTGCCTTCCAATCTGACAAAAAGCAAATGAACAAAAATGAGCAACCATAATGGTTTTGGTCTCAACAGAAATCAGGGATAAACCTGCACCTGTAATTCTCCAGATACACCAGAAAACATTACCTTTGATACCTGACATAGTGTCCCTGGAGCTCAGGTGTAGTTCTATTAAGATATCAACACACACCTCCCAACCTGTCACCTAAGAGCCTGGGTACATCCCAAACTGCCCACTTTGCTTAAGTCACAAAAAAAGAGTTGTAACATTTTTTTCACATCCTTTGGTCAAAGTGTCAGGTCATTGTCTTGTCTTGCCAATGTGAAGAACTATACACTTTTAAAGCCCTTTTTTTTTTTAACTGTAATAATAACTTTAAACTTTTACTAACACAGCTATATTTATATTTGAGCTACAGTATATATGCTTTCCTTTATGTCTTCAGGCAATTCCTCAACCTGCTTTCATGGCCAAACCCAATACTTTATGGTCTGAAGAGGAAAGGAAACAATTCAAAGATTATGAGAAAAAAGTCAAGGAGTTAAATGAAGAAAGAGATAAGTATAGAAAGGTCAGAAAAGCAAAAATTAAAATACCTTACTATATCTAGCATTTTATTTCAATATCTTTTAAAACTAAGTGTTCTTTATTTTCTCAGTGTTTTTAGTAGCTTAAAGGATGTTTCAGCTTAAATTCTCAAGGGAATTTGGGGAAGTAGATGGAGATAAATTTAAAGAGTTGGAACAATTCAAAACAAAAAACATACTGCGGGTTTTTTTTAAATTCTCACTGATCTCAACATTTCCCACATCATTACAATTCATTTGGTCCTCCAATCATTCTTCAAATGTTTAATGAACACCTATTAAAATATGTTCAAGGCACTGCTCTAAATTATCCACATCTATTTGAGTTCAGTGATTCTCTTGCTTGGTTTGTTCTCCATCTCAAGGAAAAAGGACTTGAGAGAAGAATGACACAACTGATGCAGCATATACTTAAGGTTCTGATATGAGATTTTTTACCATGCAGTTCTACTTTTATCTCCTTACATTGCAAAGAAACATTCCCACATTAGAATTGCTTTCAATTAAAATAGAGATATTAAAGTTAATGGCATTCAACCAAATAATAATTATTCCTCTGTGAAGAAAGTAAGATCATACCATCATTTGAAGCAGGACAGTTTGTCAGCTTTATGGTGGCTACATCTCATGAACAACTTCTTGGGACCTGTTCTTGGCTGGTTTCTGTTTTTCTTCACTGCAGTCCTCTAACAGTGCCCTTCTAATTCGTCCTAAGGTGGTACTTACCTAAAGGCCAAAATGAGCAGTCTTGAATGCTCCAGAGATTTCAGGGAGTTAGGGACTGTAGATGCCTAAAGTGGTGCCATTTACTCCATGGTCTTGTGTTGTAAATTAGTCTGCTGCCTGCACCCTCACCTCTCTGCTCCTTGTTCATACTCACCTGGTCAAAATCAGCCTCAATTAAACCCATACTTGTCCTCCTCCACACTTGCACTATGCAGCAGGTAATGAAAAACTAACTGGTTTCACTCTGATGGCCTTAATCTTTATTGGGTCCTTAGAGTTGCTCCGCTCTAATAGCTGCTCTACTACTCCATTTGCCCCCTAGCTTAGTCCATGTCATCAAGACCATCTTGTTAAAAATGCAGACTTGCAGTCTGTCATTCTGAAGAAACAGGGATCCTGAGAGTTTTAACAGGCAACCAGGCGGTGCAGCTGCTGCTGGTCAGTGGACCACACTTTAATTAGAAAGATCTGAGAGGACCACCTCACAAATTCTCCTCTGTTCTCAAACTTCTAACACCTTACCTTCTCAACTCACTGTCACCTTATTTTCTATTTCATTGGGAGGAGAGAAGCAACTAGAAGAGACTCTCCTTACTCTTCTTACACCACATCTGTCACCCACCTGCACAGAATCTATACAATCTCCCTGCCTTTCTGATTCTTATGGAGGAAATGGTCTTGCATCCATCCATGCCTGATCCTCCACTTAGGCACTGGATCCCATCCTATCTTCCCATTCAACGTTGTTACTCCAGCAATATGGCCCTTTTTCCTGCATCAAGAATTTTTCCCTCTACTGGATTTTTCCCACCAGCACAGACATGCTGTAATCTTATATACTGTATTCATATCTCACCTTGTACAAAAGAAGAAAAAAAGTCTCCTTTGAATTGAATTCTTTAGTTCTACTATTCTTGTATTTTTGAGTTAGTCTGAACTTATTTCAAAAGAAAAAGTCAAAAGAAAAAATTCCCTTGACCGCTTTTCTCTCAATCCACTGCTAAATGTCAAAAAAATCCTAAAAAAATCTATGTTCACTGTCTCCAATTATGCTCTTCTCCTTTTAAAAAACCTGTGTATTATGGAAAGTATCAAACATATATAAATAAGAGAGAGTAGCATAATGACCCCATCATCCAGCTTTAACAATTATTGACTAATTGTTGTCTCTGCCAACTTCTTTACCCCCTGGCCTACGTCTATTCATCTGTACCTAATATACCTGTACCATATACGTATATACCTGTACTCATCAATTTTTAATTTTGCCATATTAGTTTTTTAGCTTTTTCTCCTAAGTTATTGGTACTGAGACATTATAACGTTCCCAAATACTACAGCATAAAATCTCTTAGGAACAAAGACATTCTCCTACAATAGCCATAATTGAACTATTACACACAAAAAGTTTAATATTAATATAATGCCTGCATCATTAGCCATGATCAGTGATTTCTAACTTTTTTTTTTCCCAGTATAATCTTTTTAAAGCAAGGCCTGCCCTCCACCCTCCTCACCTGTGTGTCAGAATGTAAACACCACTTCCTAGGAATGTGTGATGTTCTTAAATATTAACTTTGCTATTGACTTCTTTCAGTCATTAGAAGCAGAAATGAAGAAACTTCAAAACTCTATTCACGAAAGTACACAGAATTTTGATGAACACTTAAAAAGACTCTTTGAAAGGAGAGTGAAGGCTGAGATGGTTGTCAACCAGGTAAATAAAAAGCTTTACCTATGTGACTTTTTCTTTTAAGGAGTCTCCAGGGCTGCTCATTGTTCTGAGGATGAAGACCAAGACCCTTTCTGAAACCAAGGTCCTGCATGCACTGGCCTGGCTCCTGCTCCAGCCTCATCTGTGCCCCCCTCCCCCTCACCTGCCACACTCCCTCCTCTGGTGCCTCAGACACACCAGTGTCCTCCTTTTTCCCAACTCTGCCAGTAATACTCTCTGCCAACTTCTTTACCCCCTGGCCTATGTCTATTCATCTGTCAGGTCCCAGCTTCAAAGCCAGTTCCTCAGACTAGGTCAAATCTTCCTATTACATGCTCTGTTCTTTTACTTTCTATAACCTACTGCAAATGAATTTAAATTTATGTGAGACCACTTTTTAATGCTCCCAAGACTATAAAAACTCCATGAAGGACTGAATCTGTCTTGTTCATACCTGTATCTCCAGCAACTAGCAAAGGGCTGGGCTCAAACTATATGTTGAGTCAGTGAATAATTTACATGCCCCAAAAGACCAGATGAAAAATCTGGCTTAATTTGATTCAGCAGTGAAAATGTAAATGCAGTGTCAGTAACTAGAAGTAAGAAGACCAAGGAGTGAAGCCTTTAAATTCTTAGGAAAAATTATTCCTAACATTGGATTCTGTACCTGGCCAAGCTATCAGTTGAGTGTAGGAAGAGAATAATGATATATTGAGAAATGCAGTCTTAAACAAATGTATATGCACCCATTTTCAGGGAGCTATTAGAAGATGTGTCTCACAAAAGGAGAAGGTCAATCAAAAAGATGAGGGGAGATAAGGGAACCCCCAGGAGGATGTCTGTATCCTCAGGTCCCAAAAGGAATGGTACACAGAAAGGGTTACATTTAAGAGAGTTTAATGCAGGGACTCTGCTGAAGTATGGACAGGGTTAAGGTAAAACAGCAAGGAATAGTGAAACACCCAGACCCTAGAAATAGTGGGAAAGCGGTATCTTTAGAACTAATAAGGCAAAGAAAGGGACCCAGCAAGACCTGTAGCTGTGGGAGAGGGACTTCTTGCTCCTCAGGAGTCATGGCCATAATTAGACAAACATAATCACTGGCCCAGCAGGGAGGGAGTGTATGTATATGGCAGTCAGGCTTGGGGGAGATTGGGAATGAATGCCCCAGCATTAGCCATAATAGCAGTGTTAGTCGTAATGGTCAAAAGGTAGAAGCAATCCAGATGTCCAACAGCTATGAATGGATAAACAAAATATGGTTTCTCCATATAATGGAATATTATTCAACAATAAAAGGTACAAATACATGCTACAATATGTATGAACCTTGAAAACATGCTAAGTGAAAGAAACCAGGCACCAAAGGCCACATACTGACTGATTCTATTTATGTGAAATGTCCAGAATGAGCATATCTAAAGAGACAGAAAGTAATTAGCGATTGCCTTGTGGTGGGCCTCTGCGAAACATGGAAATGAGAAATGACTGCCAAAGGATTTCTTTTTGGAATGATGCAATATTCAAAAATTGATTATGGCGATGGTTGCTCAACTTTGAATATACCAAAACCATTGAATTACACACTTCAAATGAGTCAGCTGTATGTATTGTGAAATACATCTTAATAAAGCTGCAATTTTAAAAGATATGCTTAGAACATTTTTCATACAAGATGAGGAAACTATTGTAGACTACTACGTAATATCAAAAGGAGTCAGGAGCCAACTTTACAAGCTCCCTTAAATGGGACAATTTAAGATTCATATTGTAATTAACTGAAACCCATCAAATTTGTTTAAATTCATGAATTTGTGATATTTTTAAAAAGAAAAATGCCAATCGTTCACCTTCAGAGGATAACAAACAATTCATTATTTAAAAACTGATAAAGAAAAAGCATTTTGGCAGGTATTCATTCTGCCATCCTATATGAATTGTACCACTAGGTAACCAAATAGCAGTAAGGTGAAGCATCTCTTTCTAAAAGAATTTCAATTAATAAGTGAAAAAGGAATGACAGAAATAGAACACAACTATTTTTCAACTCTCAATGAATTAATGGACCTGGGCATTGAGCATCTATAGCTGCTAACATCACAAAAAGAAAGACAACCTGATATTAGGTCCTCCTGATCAAAGAGATCAGTATCACCTTTGGTCTTGCAAAAAGGATCAAACATGGTCTGATCAGGCCTCTGATCCAGCCTCCATTTTTCAGGAAGTACATGGGATGAAGGATCCTAATGAACTCACTATAAGTATGCAGTGAGTAAAACCCAGACTAGGTGAAACTACAAATAAATGTAAAGAAAAGACAAGGATAGAAGAGAACCTGTGGATTACAAGACATAAAACATGTGGCAGATTTTTTTTACTACTTTTTTTATTAAGGTGTCATTGATATACAATCTTATGAAGGTTTCACATGAATGAGCAACATTGTGGTTACTACATTCGCTCATATTATCAAGTCCCTTCTGATACCCCACTGCAGTCACTGTTCATCAGCATAGTAAGAATGCAACAGTTTTTTTAAATGGACAAGTTATACTGTAATGCCTAGCGATACATACTTGGGTAATAAAAGTAAAAGAAACACAAGGAAGTGATTATTATCGTCAGGGTGGTGGTTGTTATTGGGGTTGAGAATGTGATGAGGACATGTGGAAAGGGCTTTTGAACAGTGGCAAAGTTCTATTTCTTGAACTGGGTGGTAATTACAAAGGTGTTTTACTGTTATAACTCATTAAACTATACACTTATGTATTTTTCTGTTTTCTCTTTTATCTTACGTTGAAAAGATTAAAAAGGCAAAATAACTGAGTAGTTATGGCAACAGTTTATATTCCCTTTTACTTAAAAACAATTTCCCTTACTTGTATGTCATAAACTTGCCCAATGACTACCAAGTCTATGACCCTTGAAAGAAAATCCTTTCCCAGGTAGGAGTGTATTGATCATTTTCCTCCCTTTCTAAATATTTCTACAGGAGGAACTGAAAATAAATAACCTTGTTTATTCTTTACTGTTGGATGAAGAAATAAGCTCCAGAGAAGCATTCCTAAACAACTACCTTGTGAGAAAGCAGGAGGAGAAAGTAAGTACAGTTATCTGATAGCTGAGTACAAGCATTTTCTGACAGCCCTGCTCCTTGTTTGTCAAGAGCTCGCACGCCTACCTTTCCCTTCCACATTCCTATTCAGCTCTGTGTGTTCCCTGGCTCCATGCCTGGGTGTTTGCTCTGGGATCAGGTGAGAGCATGCACTCCAGTCTGTTCAGAAAGTTATGTGATTCTACATGTGCAATCATTTAGTCAAAAGAACCATGCAACTTTCATATGATATCCAGTTTATAAAATGAGGCCATATAGCTTCATAATTAAAAGGACCCACTTTTATCCACTGGTTGTGGGACATTGAACAAGACATACAATCGTTAAGGTTTTGCAAGCTCTTCTCTAGGGAATATTGTTCTCTCTGGACCATTTGGCACCCTAAGTTTTACTAAGTTATAATAGGTTAGCTTATAGAATGAAAAGCTGTCATAGTCTGAAAAACTCGATTTAATACATAGCACGAATAGATGTTATATTAAAGAGACTGTAAGTGCAAAATGCCTGTCACATAAAAATTTCAAAAGATGTCAGCTTTTATTTCTAATATTAGTAAAGGACATCAATGAATCATTTAAAGTCTTGTATATGACTTACTTGCTAAGAGTCTTTTAAACAGCATAAGTAAGCAAAGCGCCTTCTAAACCCGATTCATAACAATCCTGCGGGGGACTGGATTTCTTTCACAGATGAGGAGACCATCTCCAGGAGGCTGGTAACATACCAAAGTTACCCACTAGTATGTCACATAGCAGGAATGGGAACTGTGGAAATAAATGAAGACCATATAAATGAGAACAAGCAGAGTATTTATTCAGAGCTTGGTATAGTAAGTGAATCAGTCACCATCACTGGCGTTTGGCAGGCAGGGTGATAGGAACGCATTTTAATGAAAAGAAGAGAGGTCTTCAGAGTGTACCCTGATTGGAAGCTGCTGGCATGAGGGGGCCAGGGTCACATTAATTAGAAGCCAGGAAACCTGTGTAACTGATTTGGGAAGGATATTTGGTTTTTTCTCGTTGGTCCCAAGTTGAAAATAATCACAAAATTAGGAAAGCTGAAAGTTATTGACCAAGTCTGACAATCTGGGGACAGTCGCTGTGGTTTAACTTCCTAGCTGGTTGCTGCAGAGGTCGTTGGTCAGAGTTCTGTTCTTATATGTGGTCTGGCCATTGCCCAGTTTGTATTTTCAGTCTCTTAGAAACCAGGTCCATGCGACTTCCAAGCCTGTGCAATTTCATCATCCATTGTGCCCTGCCAAGAATGTAGTGTGCTCCACAGTCACTTACACATTCACGTACAGAGCTGGCTATACTGAGAAACAGGTGATTGGATGTTTTTTCTTTCAAAGTCTCCAGTTTGTTTTCTTTCTTCTATAAATGTTATTTGTAATGGATACTTCACTGACACATTTATCTTGTACTAGGAAACACCTTGTCCTTTTTAGTATCTCCAATATTATTGTTTATCCTGAAAAATCTCCACTTCCAACTGGCTATTCCTGATGTTATTATAGAGCCGGACTTCAGAGGCTATCCGGAAGTCTAGAGAAGACCTCGATGTATACAAGGAACACTATGACAACTTACTGGCAGAAGACAAAGTGAGAGCTGTTGTGTTACCCATTCCACCAATACAATAGAGTTGCTGCTGCCTGGATTTGGGGAAGATTTAAAGGGATGTAATTTAACTTCCTCATAGATTTTTCTCCTACTATAATTCTCAGTTATGGGTGAACTTCACTCTGTGCCATTGTATATTTCTAAAAATCACTGTGTAAAATAAATGTTTGTAAACTTCTCTGGTTTAAGCTTTCTCTTGTACAACTGAGAGACAGATCATCTAGACTTTAGGGCTTTTCAAACTTCAGATTGCAGACTTCATTAGTTGGCCATGAAATCAATTTACTAGGCCATGGCCAACAGTTTTATAATAGAAAAGAACAGGATAGAAAAACATAAAGAACAGAATGGAATGGAATGTAATAGAGTACCCTGCACTCAGGTAAATACTATTTTGTGAAACTTTAGTTTTGAATGCTTTCTGAGACCTCCTATATGTGAGATACTTTTCATTCACTGAGGTGTTTCCTATTAAGAAAAATCTTTGAGAAATCCTTGCAGATTGAGTGGTCATCTTCTAACAACTCTACTTTATGAACCAAATTTTTATGGATTTTTAAAATCAAAGTGATACAACCCTATATTTTGAAGAGTATTATCAAAAAGTAAAAGGGCTCTGAACAACACTGCAATCCTGGCAATATGTTTGTCCTTAGGTTCTGGATCGCAGCTTTAAGAAGGAATTTTCTGAAATTCCGAGTCATCAAGTGGATATACTCTACAAACTATTTAAGCGGCGACCAAGGTTTGTTTATCCTTTGCTGTCATGTTTCTGAGAAAAAGAGTTTGTAAATGAACAGGAATGTTATTATATTTCAGCTTTTTCTCCCAGTTAGATGGAATACTCAGTGTAACATCTTTTATGTGATAATATTCAAGTGTCTTGATCATAACTCAGTTTCTTTTTTTAGATTCTTCTTACATCTTAAGATAGGCAATGAAGAATAAAGATTTCATTATTTAAAAATAGTTACCTAGGTAAGCATAATGCTATTATAGGTTCTATTTTATACATGAAGGTAGTTCCTTTTAAGTCATAGATGGCATAGAGATTTATAAGCAGTTTTCCCAAGATGTGTTTGAGCAAGATGAGTCCCTTGTGGTATGAATGTAAAAGGCTCCCAGGACAAAATAGGTTTGGGAAAATACTGGGTTAAAAAAACTTTAAACAGTTTTCTTGACTGAAGAATTTCTCAGAACTTGTTTTTGGCCTTTGGATCTCCAAGTATAAGAAATAGAGTAAGGAGGGCTTTCCAAACTCATTTGACCACGAATCCCTTTTCCTCAAGAGCATCTCATGTGATTCTGTTCAAGACAAAGTTTGAAAAATGCTCATATAAATGACTGAAAGTAACCATTATCCATTCTAAAGTACCTGATTTTTACACTGAGAATAGCATTAGAATTATATTTCACAAATTTCCAAACTTTTGTAAATTCAGATATCCATAATTTTTAATCAGACAGAATCTTGAAATCATAGAATTTGTCACAAAGGTATAGGCTTTGTGTCTGAGATACAAACTCTTTTCTCTCTCTTTTGATGGGTTAAATGCGACGTGGGGAATTCAACCTAGAACATGCCTCATATCTTGGTTTACCTACTTTTAAAGGAGCAAGTCATAATAAGCTTTGTGAAGAAAGTGAGACCTTCTGTATATTGGGAGGCAGCAATGGAAAAATCATAAGCTTTATTGTCAAACAGAATTAGCTTTAAGTCCTAATTCCACCATCTATCAGAACTGTGTCCCAATAGCTTCTCTCAGAGCCTCACTTTCCTCATTTAGAGAAAGAGGGAAACAATACTAACTTACTGTAAAGCATCTTGAATAGTAAGCTGCTAGCACAAACCTTTGTACCTGTCTTCCTTTCCCCCCACACCCCAAGAAAACAAAACTCATCTATTAATATAGATAAAAAGAGGTACTTCTCCAGTTGCACATATATCTGAACATATTCCAGGCTACTCACCTGCAAAAAGATGTCAGCAGAGGATGTATGGGACAGAGTCAGGGAACATCCACATTTCTCTTGGGCATTTATTTGTCTCCTTAAAATACACAAAGAGAGATGTTTTTTAGGGCAGGTGAAGCTGCCAGTGCTGACAACAGGAATATCTTATAATCCAGCCAAGGTTATGTCTGGGGAATCCAGAGTATGCAAAGTCAAAGTGGATACTTTGCTCTTTGGAATCCACAAGCCTCCAAATGTCAAAGGAGAGTGTCATGCTATGTCATAGGGGTGTATATTTAGCATTTACTTTTTGTGTGTGAGAATGTGAAAGGTTGATGTGCTTTTATTGAATACCAGGATTCACAAACAGAAAGTGCACTCAGATACGGCCAGTATTATTCCTTTTGGAGAGCGACCAGGATCTGGGAAATTGAATAAGGATGCCTTTGCCCAGTTAATGAAAACCATGGATGACTTGGACAATATTAATAACATGCCAGAAGGCTTGGACCCCTTGGTCTGGGATCGTTTCTGCACAACCAGACGAGCAAAAGTGGAAAATGAACAGAAAGTATATAATAAAGTTTTATTTCAATTTCATTTCACTTAGTGTACTAATATCAAATATATAGAAATATATAGTTTATGGTGGCCAGTGCTTCGAGAAAAGCTAATTATATAGGTTTTCCTGCTAGGGTAGGAGTTAGTAATATTAATAATAATAATAATGAAATAAAATATTAACCTCAGTGTTATGGAGGGTTAACTATAGACTGTACTTGTAGACCTATGCTGTCCAAAATGGTGGCACTAGCCACATGTGGTTGTCTACTTGAAATGAATGTAGCCAGTCCTAGCTGAGACGTGCTGTTAAGTGGTAACTACACACAGATTTAAAAGACTTAGTATGAAAAAAAATGAAAGATGTCTCAATATTTTTATATTCATTCCAGATTGAAATAATGTTTTGGATCTACTGTGTTAAGTAAAATACATTAGTAAAATTAATTCCACCTATTTGATTTCACTTTTTGTAATGTGGCTACTACTAAACTTAAAATGACATAAGTGGCTCATATTTATGGCTCAAATTATATCTCTGGGACAGCACAGTTTTAGATATAACTTGCCTTCTCCTCTCTGCCCTAGTCTGGAGTAGTCCTCATTTCTTTTTGCATAGATTTGAATTATTTTTCACCAGAACCAACTTTATAGTTTTGCTAGAATTTTTTTTATTATTATAGCAAAGGATAACAATTTGAGAGTGTGTTTAATTGGGAAGAGAATCCTTCCTTTTTGCTTCTTGACCAAACCCTGCCTCCCCTTCCCCAAATTCCCTAAATTCAGAGTCACGTGCATCAGGCTGGCATATTCTTGCTAAAGTATATATGATTTTATAATTTTACTTAAGATGATGAGAACAAATTTTAAAGTAAGACATAAGAAAAATTCCAGTTGTCTACATACTTGATTTTCAGTGAGAAGCAAATTTGATACTTTTCAAATCATTCATGGAATGTACCATGTTTTAGGCATCCTATGTTACCTAATGGCAGGGATTTAAATCTTTATTAATCTCTTAGAAAGATGGGCTTGTGAAAGTTTTACAACAAAGTTAAATGTTTTCTTAAGTTCTTTAAAAATTACTTTGCTTTTAGTTTCTCTAGTTCTGAGATGTTTGTGGTTTGGTTTCCTCAGGTAAAGCAGAAAGCAGCCGGCTTAATGGAAATGTCAGCTTTCCTCCAGAGGAGAGTTGAGGATGATGAGAAGGTGCAACAGGAAATTGAAAAAGTGTTTCATGAACTCATCCTGTAATTTGAACCTTTCATTCATGTTCATTATTTAAAGTTTAAGCTAGCGCTAAGTTAGATTGTTATCACAGAGGGAGAATGTGTACTCACTGGTTTATGTCTGGCACAAACCTCATCTGACTGGGCTTTATAAAGATTAATCTTTGAAAAGATGCATTTTGTTACATAAGACCTTATTTCAGAATGGAACTTACCCACGTGTTCCATTGCTCTTATTAGAAATAGGCAAATTTGAGGACAATCTTAGTACTTTTTAATCTACTCCTCCCACATGAAAATACAAAGAACTTGTTTCTGCTAGTGAGTACTTTCGGGCTTAAGCCACACAAACAAACTGTGTGGAAAATTAAGCAGATATTCAAGAAATTTCCACATAGACACCTAACCAGCTAATATCTTTAGCTTTAGGGAATCTTAACATGTTTGGCTGTTTGGGATATTGATTTAGGTCCTTGCTTCACTTCTGGCCATACTTACAGCCACATTGATAAATACTTCCCTGATGTTCCCAAATTCATTATTACAAATGATGTTCAGATCTAGGCTATAAGGAGGAATATTAACTACCCAGAAATAGATTTGATAAGTAGCATACAGAAACATTTTAAATATAATACCAGAAGTCAATATATAAAATCAGAAACTTGAAAGACTTGTTATTTGGTAGTATCTCTATTTTTCTCCCATTTATAATTGAAATTATATTAATCTTTTCTTAATCATAAAGTAAAACTTTATGATTGTATTTCTGTCCATACCATTCTTTGAGCAGTGCAAGTATAATTCCATATCAATAAGAAGAGGTATCATAGAGATATCTAATAAAGCTCACATCTGGACAAATATTTTCCATATTAATCTCCAGCATGTTTTCCTTCACCTTAAGGAAAATTAAGTTTGAATTTTATATTCTCAGATAATATGTGACATTTGAAATATAAATAAATTATAACTACTTATTTTGAAGACCTTTTCAATTTAGGTTACAGGAAGAGAAAGGGAAATTCCAGCTGAATTTGACAATCCAAATTCTCCTTAAACAAGGACAAGTAGAACTGGAGAACTTCCAGTTATTGCTAGAGTATTCTGATGCAATTCTCATCAACAGGAACATAATTGAAGACTTGAATTCTGTGATTCGGGTAATTATCATTTTTTATGGAGAAGAAAACAATGTATCACATGCTGTACCAAATATTTTTCATTATTCTCCCATTTCCATGATAAATCATTTTCATTTGGTTAAGTTAGTGGTTCTTAACTCTGTACATTAGAATCACCTGAAGAACTTTACAAATGTGTTCAGGTCCCACCCCTAAGCATGGTCATAATTTAAAAGCTTCCCAGATAATTCTAAGAAGTTTGGGACCACAGAGTTAAATGTTTATTCTAATATGCCATCGTTATGTTAGGTTCAATCTACTCACTAATAATAACCTTAGATAAGCTTAGGTAATTGATTTTAGATCTTGTTTCTTTATATAAACACTTAATTTTATAAATTTTGTTGTAAGCACTATTTTAGCTGCATTCTGCAAATTTTAATATTTTGTTTTAATTTCTTTCCATTTAACATGTTTTCTAATTTCCTTCATAACTTCTATTTGACTCATGGATATTTAGAAGGGTGTTATTTAACTTCTACACTTTTGAGGATTATGTGCTAATGTTGCCATACATTTTACTTTTACAAATGCTCTAAACCCACAATATATTGTTATTTTTGCTTTAGATAGTCAATTGTTTTTTACAATGAAGAAAAATAAGAAAAAAGTGTTTTCCATTTCATTTCTACTAGATTTTTGTGTGACGTTTCCACCTCATATATACCTTCATCTTAAAGAACTTCTTTTAACTTCACTGAATTGAAAGTCTGCCTGTAATAAACTCTCTGTTTTTCTTTGTCTGAAATTATCTTTGATTCACCTTCATTGTTGAAAGATAGTTTGCTGGGTTCCTGGATTGTCAGGTCTAATCTCCACCTGTTTCTTTCTTTGATTCTTTTCTCTTTAAAGGTGTTCATTTTTTGCTGGCTTACAGAGTTTCTGATATGAGGCCTACTATATATTTTTAATCTTTTCCTTTCATTTTCCTTTTCTTTTACTTTCATGCTAACTTGTGTCCTTGAATCTACCTACAAGTGTTTCCTCTAGACAGAATATCATTGGTTCATTTTTTAAAAAATCTATTGTGCCTATCTCTGCCTTTTAATTGTATAGTTTAATCCACTGACATTTAAGGTAATTACTGATAACGATCTTACGTTACCATTTTGATATTTGTTTTCTGCACATCCTATTCTTTGGTTCCTCCATCCACTCATTACTGCTTTTTGTATATAGTTGATTTTTTGCAGAATACCCTTTTGATCCCCTTCTCTTCCTTTTCTGTATACATTTTAGTTGTTTTCTTAGTGGTTACCCTGGGGATTACAACTGACATCTTAATTTTATAACAAACTAACACTAACTTAGTTTCAGTAGTATATAAAACACTGCTCTTATACAACTCTGTTCCTTCCCCTTTTTGTCACAAATTACATCTTTATAAATTATGTCTATTAACATTTATAATTATTGTTTCATGCATTTTTGCTTTAAATCATATAGGAAAAAAAAGCACAAACCAAACTACAGTAATACTTTTATATTTATCTATGTAGTTACATTTTTAATTTTCTTCTTGTCTTTGAGTTACTGTCTAGTGCTTTTTCATTTCAGCTTGAAGGACTCCCTTTAGCATTTCTTGTAAAGTAGGTCTGCTAATGGTGGACTCCCTCAACTTTTGTTTATCTCAGCTGTCTGAAATTCTCCTTCGTTTTTCTGTTGTTAGGGTAGGACCAACAAGCATTATCAGATTTGCTGATGGATTGAATGTAATGGGTGAAGAGAGGTATCAAATATAAATCCTTAGTTTTGAGCAACTGAATAGATAATGGTGTCATTAATTGACGTGAGAAAGACTGGGGAGCTGTAGCTTTGCTGGGAACATAGAATGAAGGGTTTTGGCTTTTGTTAAATTTAAGATGCCGATAAAATATGCCAATGGAAAAATTAAGCAGTCAGTCAGAATTCAGGGGTGAGATACAAATTTAGGAGTGCTCTATATACAGGTCACATATAAATAACTACATATGGATTGTTATACACATGTATCTACATATAGATAACTTAAGCTATGAGATTGCTTGAGACCACAGAGGAAGTGGCAGAGATATTAAGAAGAGGGAGTTTGGGCCAAAGCCTGAAGCCCAACTCTGAAAGATCTAGCAGAGAAGGAGGCAAGTTAAGGAGACTGAGAAGGAGTTGCCAGTCAAATAGAAGGAAACTGAAAAACCATGAAAGAAAATGTTCCAAGAAGGAGGGACTCCTGCATTATGTCAATCACCTGGCAAGAGCAGTCTCAGTGAGGGTTGGTAGGAGCTCAATTAGTGTGCCTCAAGAAATAATGTTGAGGAAGTAGAGAGCATGACTACAAATAAATCTTGCAAAAAGTTGACTGAAAGGAAAGGAAAAAGGAGATGTGATAGCTCTACAGCAGTGTTTCTCAACCCTGGCACTACTGACATTTTGGGCCAAATGATTATTTGTTGTGAAAAGATGTCCTGTGTTTTGTACAAAGTTTAGATACCTGTTAGATGCCAATAGCATTGAGACAGATCATCTAGACTTTAGGGCTTTTCAAACTTCAGATTGCAGACTTCATTAGTTGGCCATGAAATCAATTTACTAGGCCATGGCCAACAGTTTTATAATAGAAAAGAACAGGATAGAAAAACATAAAGAACAGAATGGAATGGAATGTAATAGAGTACCCTGCACTCAGGTAAATACTATTTTGTGAAACTTTAGTTTTGAATGCTTTCTGAGACCTCCTATATGTGAGATACTTTTCATTCACTGAGGTGTTTCCTATTAAGAAAAATCTTTGAGAAATCCTTGCAGATTGAGTGGTCATCTTCTAACAACTCTACTTTATGAACCAAATTTTTATGGATTTTTAAAATCAAAGTGATACAACCCTATATTTTGAAGAGTATTATCAAAAAGTAAAAGGGCTCTGAACAACACTGCAATCCTGGCAATATGTTTGTCCTTAGGTTCTGGATCGCAGCTTTAAGAAGGAATTTTCTGAAATTCCGAGTCATCAAGTGGATATACTCTACAAACTATTTAAGCGGCGACCAAGGTTTGTTTATCCTTTGCTGTCATGTTTCTGAGAAAAAGAGTTTGTAAATGAACAGGAATGTTATTATATTTCAGCTTTTTCTCCCAGTTAGATGGAATACTCAGTGTAACATCTTTTATGTGATAATATTCAAGTGTCTTGATCATAACTCAGTTTCTTTTTTTAGATTCTTCTTACATCTTAAGATAGGCAATGAAGAATAAAGATTTCATTATTTAAAAATAGTTACCTAGGTAAGCATAATGCTATTATAGGTTCTATTTTATACATGAAGGTAGTTCCTTTTAAGTCATAGATGGCATAGAGATTTATAAGCAGTTTTCCCAAGATGTGTTTGAGCAAGATGAGTCCCTTGTGGTATGAATGTAAAAGGCTCCCAGGACAAAATAGGTTTGGGAAAATACTGGGTTAAAAAAACTTTAAACAGTTTTCTTGACTGAAGAATTTCTCAGAACTTGTTTTTGGCCTTTGGATCTCCAAGTATAAGAAATAGAGTAAGGAGGGCTTTCCAAACTCATTTGACCACGAATCCCTTTTCCTCAAGAGCATCTCATGTGATTCTGTTCAAGACAAAGTTTGAAAAATGCTCATATAAATGACTGAAAGTAACCATTATCCATTCTAAAGTACCTGATTTTTACACTGAGAATAGCATTAGAATTATATTTCACAAATTTCCAAACTTTTGTAAATTCAGATATCCATAATTTTTAATCAGACAGAATCTTGAAATCATAGAATTTGTCACAAAGGTATAGGCTTTGTGTCTGAGATACAAACTCTTTTCTCTCTCTTTTGATGGGTTAAATGCGACGTGGGGAATTCAACCTAGAACATGCCTCATATCTTGGTTTACCTACTTTTAAAGGAGCAAGTCATAATAAGCTTTGTGAAGAAAGTGAGACCTTCTGTATATTGGGAGGCAGCAATGGAAAAATCATAAGCTTTATTGTCAAACAGAATTAGCTTTAAGTCCTAATTCCACCATCTATCAGAACTGTGTCCCAATAGCTTCTCTCAGAGCCTCACTTTCCTCATTTAGAGAAAGAGGGAAACAATACTAACTTACTGTAAAGCATCTTGAATAGTAAGCTGCTAGCACAAACCTTTGTACCTGTCTTCCTTTCCCCCCACACCCCAAGAAAACAAAACTCATCTATTAATATAGATAAAAAGAGGTACTTCTCCAGTTGCACATATATCTGAACATATTCCAGGCTACTCACCTGCAAAAAGATGTCAGCAGAGGATGTATGGGACAGAGTCAGGGAACATCCACATTTCTCTTGGGCATTTATTTGTCTCCTTAAAATACACAAAGAGAGATGTTTTTTAGGGCAGGTGAAGCTGCCAGTGCTGACAACAGGAATATCTTATAATCCAGCCAAGGTTATGTCTGGGGAATCCAGAGTATGCAAAGTCAAAGTGGATACTTTGCTCTTTGGAATCCACAAGCCTCCAAATGTCAAAGGAGAGTGTCATGCTATGTCATAGGGGTGTATATTTAGCATTTACTTTTTGTGTGTGAGAATGTGAAAGGTTGATGTGCTTTTATTGAATACCAGGATTCACAAACAGAAAGTGCACTCAGATACGGCCAGTATTATTCCTTTTGGAGAGCGACCAGGATCTGGGAAATTGAATAAGGATGCCTTTGCCCAGTTAATGAAAACCATGGATGACTTGGACAATATTAATAACATGCCAGAAGGCTTGGACCCCTTGGTCTGGGATCGTTTCTGCACAACCAGACGAGCAAAAGTGGAAAATGAACAGAAAGTATATAATAAAGTTTTATTTCAATTTCATTTCACTTAGTGTACTAATATCAAATATATAGAAATATATAGTTTATGGTGGCCAGTGCTTCGAGAAAAGCTAATTATATAGGTTTTCCTGCTAGGGTAGGAGTTAGTAATATTAATAATAATAATAATGAAATAAAATATTAACC